TACAAAAAAAACAAGTAACTACTTGCCTTCATGAAACATTTCACAATGCTTTCACAGGTGGTGTTGTCTTCTGGCCATACTCTAGACAATCTTCTACCCTTTTACATTTCAGCTGGATGCAGGAGAGATATCTGCTGCCCATACATCAGCTGATCAGATCTCCTGAATGCTCTTGGGACAGAAGCCAGGTACGCTCAAGGTCTGTTTCACCTCCAAAATTGCCATGCTCATCAGCATCTTGACAGAGCAGTTCATTTTGAGGCAAACAATGTAATAGATCCCGCTCACGGCACGTCACCATATGAATTACCATTATTTCAACATTTGTAAATGAATGCGTTTTATAAAATGTTCAATATCATTTAGTTATCCAATGTAATTTGATCTAGTGTGGCAATTAAGACAACAGAACACACATACATATGGATATCAGCAACCTCATCTCTCCAAAGGCCACAAAATAAATATGTCATTCTAAAGAAAAATTACTATCTCCTAGTCACAAGCTAGACAGATAGCTAAGCCGAGAGCATTTAGGAAACATGTCACGGACTGATCTTACACAGAGGAAAAATGTATTTCTATTAGTAACTATTAATGCTGTACATGGGCTCATAGAAATAGAATAAGGACCATTTGATATTATTTTGGAACTCAAATGTAGAAAACATGCTACTCATTTATGTGATCTACCTAGACTTGTAGAAGGCATTTGAGACCGTCCCAGACAACATTCTTGTCTCTAAGATGGAGAGACACGGACTTGATGGATGGGCCTCTGTTAGAGGCCTGTGAACTGCCAGGACGTAATGCAGGGAAGACACGGAGTTTTCATAGCAGCAAAAATGAGAGCTACAAATGAGGGCTTCGGAATGAGGACTCCACTAGAAGCTAGCTCACCTCTCTTCTACTGCACACATCATCTAAAAATAGCTTAGCCTCTTTTATAGTTCAGCGTGTGAGTTATTTATATCTTTTACACATGGCAAAAGAAAACAAAGCCTCAGAGTCAGTTTTCCTTATCTCTTTGGGTTTGTTTCTCAGAACTTTCTGCTCTACTGCTATGCACACATTCAACATTCTCGTTGTTGTCTTTAGTCACATACATGCTCTCCAGCAGTCTTCTGCTGTTTCTAATCAGGCATGCACTCAGTCAGCTAACCTAGGCTAACCATCAACCCTGTAATATGTTATTCTGTTTTCTTTTTTTGCATCAAAGGAAAGCATTGCACAGATCATATCACAACTACAATCTTCATGCTTATCCAACCGATACAAAAAACCAAACAAAAACCTAGCTGGTCATAAAAGCAATTGTCCCAATCTCTTGATTAATGGAACATCCAGCTGTCCTGGGATTCTGCCTCAGACCACTTAGCAGATAAGGAAGTGGCTAGAACGTTGCACTCAAAGAGTTGTGATCAACAGCTTGAAGTCCAGGTAGAGAACAGTGACAAGTGGAGTTCCTCAGGGGTCTGTTCTGGGGCCAGTGTTCTTTAACATCTTTGTCAGAGACATGGATGGTGGCATTGAGTGCACCCTCAGCAAGTTTTCTGATGACATGAAGCTGTGTGGTGCAATGGATTCACTTGGGGGAAGGGAGGCCATCCAGAGGGACCTTGACAGGCTTCACAAATGGGCAAATGCAAAATGCATGAGGTTCAACAAGTCAAAGTGCAAGGTCCTGCACCTGGGCCTGGCCAATCCCAGGCAAAACTACAAACTGGGTCCAGGGCTGGTTGACAGTAGCCCTGAAGAGAAGGACTTGGGGGTGTGAGCTGACAAGAAGCTCAACGTGAG